TCTTAAGATGAGACCTATCGTTGTTGATATGAATATTTGGAAATCTTTTGTGCAGGAAGACAAGTTCTACACGAGGAAGATATATGTTGTGCTGAATGATAAACATCACTTCATGGACAGGAGGAATATCTTCTACAGCAACCTTGCTAGACCAAGAGCTCAATTTATATTGTGGTTGGCTTGCATAGGAGATTGACAACAAATGATAGATTGAAAAGACTTGGTATTCTCAATGAAGAAGACTGTTGTTTCTGCAGTGATAGTGAGTTCCTTAATCACCTTTTCTTTCAATGCATGTCTGTGAAGAATGTTTGGTAAGAGGTTCTGAGTTAGCTCCAGGTTGTGCATACTCTTGGCACTTGGAGTGATGAGCTTACATGGGCTATTATGATGAAAAGTCAACTGCACCTTTGAATTTTGACCATGACATGATCTCAAACTTTAAAGCATGATTAAAGACATTCAAGAACACATTTAGAGTCCACCTATATACTTCAATTAGCTCAAGGTTTTGATTTCATTGAAGATTACAAAATTCAAGTTCATCTGATGATAAGTCAACATCTGATCAAAGTCAAGTTTGACTTTTGACTTTTTTGATCAAACATTGGTCCCTCAAGTCAAGAATAATGATAACATGTAATTTGGACCATGATCAATAAAGAAAAATCAAGAAATATGAGGTTACTTGCAAAAAGGGAAACATTGAAGAAATTGAATTTTTTCTAAGTTATGAAAGATCATGATTTTTGTCTAACTTGCCAAGGCCATAACTTCTAATCCAAGTAACCATTTTCTTTGATCCAAAGACCATTTTGAAGAGCTTTATACATACTACAACTTTGTCCTTGAGGATGATTTTCCAAAAAATGCATAGATTAAGAGATATGAAGCCATGAAGTTGGGAGTTCAATACTTTTTGAACTTGGACACTTAAAAATTTTCAGACAAAATCTGTCTTGTGTCGGAGCCAAATTTAAGACCATTTTTCTCCATGATCCACATTGATTCAAGAAAAACCTTGAACAACAAAGTTGAAGTATGTTATCTCAGCTTTCCAAAATGACCAAGAACATCCATTTATTTTACTTGAGCAATGAAATATGATTTTCACAAGAGGCCTTGTTACAACTAATTTCTCAAGACAGATTTGCCACACCTACTTGTGCCACACGACTCGGATGACCTTACTAGATGCATTTATTCATAATATAAACAAAAAAATCATCATGCATCATGTGCTCTGTAAAATCACAACATAATTTTCAAAGTTCTATCCCTTAGCCTGTGATAAAAATCATTCAAAAACTAGGAAGTGAAGTTTTGTCCTCTAGTATTAAAGTGCAATAGTGAATTTGCAAAAAACCACTCCAATTTGTCCAAGAATGATCAAAACACCAAGGGTGGGATGAGATATGAGAGAATCAAGCTCAAAATATCAGAATTGGTAGTCATGTGAGAATGGAAGCTATGTACCTTGCCACTCAAGTAATAGATACATGACATCACCTATTAGATAATAACATGTACCCTAATCTTTTCAAATTCACAAATATCTGAGACATTCTCCTATAAATAGGGCTCTATTTGATGATTCAAAACACACTAAAACATTGAAAGAAGCTTATTTTCTAAGCAATCATCCTCCTTCAAAAATTCAAAAATTCAAAGAAGTGAAAACTTGGCATTTCGACTATGAGCAATCTCCAACAAAACCAGGCATCCAAACACTTCATATACATCACATAAAAGTAATCCAAACCCTCATACACATTTTGTAACACCAGAATCATCAAGTTCATATCTCATTTGCTTCAAAGCTGTAGAATGATTTGGTCAGGAAATTCTAGAAGGTTTCAAGTTAATTCAAGCACATCAACACACTCCTTGGAGATCAAGGAAGCTGTTAACATCAAGGTATAACATCTGTAACACCTCTATCAAGGAAATTTACTCTTCACTTGCAAGGTAAGTTTTTCAAAACCTGAACTCTATAATCCATGCATCATATGTGATTAATTGAGTTACCAACTTGTTTTTGGAAATATAAGGATCATTTCCCCTCAATCAATTGCGTGATATCTTGAACATATGGGATTTCATTTCAAATTTTCAAATTAGGGTTCATACGGTTGTGTGATTAATTCCTTTTGATACACTGAATATAAATGCAATTCAATGAGGCCATTCAATTCATTGTGAAATTTCCAACAACTTTGATCTTTACATCTTTTAATTTCATGTAGAAATGAAGGTTTTTGAAATTCAAAATTGGAAGATGATGATGTAGCTTGAGGAAGAAGAAGACAATGGTGGTGGCGCAATTTTTCAAAATAAAATGAAGTTTTAATATATTATTATTCTTTTGCAATTTATTTCATGGATGTATCACCGCCTTAGTAGTTAAAGCATGCGTTTGTGTGTGTCTAAGGTCTAAGGTTCAAATCCATCTCGCCCCACACCTTTTGCTTTTATTTTATTTTAACATTTTTCAAACACAAAACTTCATATATTGTTTTACATTGCGCACCCTTTGTTCAACCCATAGCGCATGGCCCAACTAGTAAAGTTTTATATCCATGACCGGTAGGGTGTGAGTTCAACCCTTGGTGGGAGTTTTTTCCACACTTCTTATTTATCTTTCCTATTTTACTAATCCATAAAAATTCCAAAAAATATTTATTTGGGTCACTTTTATTAGGTGGAAAAGTAGTCCATTTTAAGTGTTTTATACCTTTTAAATAACTTTCTTCTGATTGTTTCCTTAACCTAATTGATTATAAATCTTTGCTCACATGTTCAAGTATTTCCTTCATAAACTCTCACCATGATGAACATATCTACTTGTATGATGCTCATTCACATGCTGATATACCATGCTTGATCACAATCATTTTCATTTCATGCTTGATGACTATATTTATTTAAAAGCTTAATCAATTTTGTCTTGTTAATTTTCTCTCGACATTTATATTTATAATGCTTGCATTCATACAACTATTGTATTTCAATACTTGTCCTTATGTTTAGACTCAGTTCAAACTATAACTCAGTTAAAACCCTAGGGTTCCCCTTGAAGTTTTCAACTTCGTTCAAAATGAGCATGAAGTACATTTCGGCTATGCATGATTGTAATTTGCTTTTATGCATGATATGTGAATGATTATAATATGAAAATGTTGACCCTTTATATACTAGGAGTTTACAGAGACTGTTTATGGAGGTTCTGATTCCTCAACACCGATAACTCAAACAAACAATTTGTGATGGAAAAATTTAAAGGAGAAATCTATCAAGCTTCACAGTTATAGCTAGCCAAGGGGATTCTCTTGGAGGAATGATGAGTTGTGCTAGCATAATATTCTGGCATTCATTTTGAACTCAACAGGCGTTGACTTATGGAAGAGTTTATTTGAGCAGCTTGAAGGCAATGAGAGGATTTTCTCTTCTGTGGTTCATCTTGCCTTGAAGGCGTTCACTTAAAAAGGAGTTCGTAAATAACTTGTCATAATATGACCTTAAGATGACGCTTTAAGTAATTTATCCCTGTGTTTGAATCTTGCAGCATTCTACCTCTAGTTATCCAATTTTTGGAATGGTAGGTTTCTGATTGACCATATTCGAAAAGTTGGACTTATTGAGATCTTTGTGATGGCTTGCCCTGACCTGAGTCTCGAAGATAACTACTCTTTGATTAACTGATACTCAAAGTAACTTGCCCTTGACTGGACTTCTTTCACATGATCAAGTTCCTCAACCGACTACTTATTGTTGGAATTCCCTTGATGCTAAGCGCTAACTTGCAAACAAAATTTTTCATTCAAAAATGGTAATTTTAATGCAATGTTCATGCAAAATTTTGATATCAAAATTTATTGATGACGCTTTTTATTGTTTCTCAATTTTTCTCTTTTCATTTTCAGTATTATTGTTGGTCTTTTTATGTGTCCTCCAATGCCATGCGTGATGTACATATACATGAGTTCTACGATTTTGATTTAAGACAAAAGATGCCCTCCCTTTTTAGTGTTTATTAATAGAAAGAGTTAAAAACAAACTAACACAAATAAAGAGAAAATTTTTTGTATGAACTATTGAAAATTTCGAATAATATTTTTTATATTATAAAATTGTGTAGGGGTGTCATGTATAACTTACGTGGAGTCATGTAAAATTTCCCAAGTTATGATGCTAGATAGAACAAAAGATGCCCTCCCTTTTTAGTGTTTATTAATAAAAAGAGTTAAAAACAAACTAACACAAATAAAGAGAAATTTTTTTGTATGAACTATTGAAAATTTCGAATGATATTTTTTATATTATAAAATTGTGTAGGGGTGTAATGTATAACTTATGTGGTGACATGTAAAATTTCTCAAGTTATGATGCTAGATAGAACAAACTTCTGATTGCATATGACCTAGGTCTACTTTGAAATGAGTTTAGATGACTAAGATTTTTATTTTAAAAAATTTTTTTCAGAAAAAATGAAACATTGTTTGGTGTACCCGACCTAATCCCTTACCATTTACACGTCCCTATCAAACAATAAAGATGAAATCACCTAAAATAAACAAGTAGAGAGTTGATTACACATGTGTGTCTCATAAAGCACAAAACTGGTGGCTGAATATTCACCAATGACTTTCTTATTAAAAAAGATTAATTCTGTAATGAAATTTATCAATAAATTTTAAAGAGATGATATATAAATCATATCAAAGAGTCAAAGACTACAATTTATTTTAACATCTTAGCATCAAATTGAACATTCAAGGGTCAAGTGAACCACACACATAATAATTTATTAGCACAACCAAGCTTGAAACATGTTTGAATTCAATGTGATTATTACAGTTTAATGCATAAACAATTATTGACTTGATTCATGTTTTCAAGTAGAAAGATAATTTGGGCATAAAGTTCTGGTGTTTCAAACCCAATAAACACAACAATACATATCATTTTAAAAACAATAATGTTCCAACAACATTATCAACTCATTCTCCACCTGGTACTAATGGTCCACCTGGTACTAATGGAACTTGATTCATCCCTAAATTTTCATACAAATGCTCCACTAACCTCCAAGTTGTTGGATCATCCTGAAAGTATTAGGCATTAAAAAGTCAGTGAAGTTCTACACTAAAAAGATATGAAAGAAGGACTTAAATCAGATATTAGGACATGACACGACACAAATACTATGACATCGATAATGTTAAAATATAGGATACAACATCACTATATATATTATAGTATTTGACATTCATTGACCCATTTATTATTAAGAGAGTTAAAAGTATTCTAATTAAAATTAACATCTATAATTTTTCATGATTAACTTTACTTTAATAAATATTTAATCATTTTAGATGTGTGTCAGATTTTTCCAAAAAAATAAATAAATAAAAGATGCATCGAGGAAAAGAAAAAAATAACATTATTTGAAACAATAGTCTGAATTGTTTGACATGTGTTGTAGGAGTGTCAGACATTCATTCAAAGAGTATCAAAGCAAATAAAAACTATTATGCCATATCATGTCATGTGTATCAAATAAGTTCATTTGCTTAGGTAAAAATAAGTACTTACACGAAAGTAATTATTGAAAGTTCCATCTGTGAGCATTTTCGGAAGACAATTTGCTAGTACAACTCCAGCTCTGCTTCAATATAAAAAAAATTTTATTAGAAAAATTTAAACTAATGAAAAGGAAATTTTCAATCAAAATACTTAAGATGATGTTTCTTCTCAATTGACCTGTGACTATCTGATAAACGAGAATAACATGAGATTATGAGCTTCAAAAGACGAGGAGAATGTTGTTTCTCAATACTGTTCAACACCTTATCCAAAACTCGTGCTACAGCAAAAAATCGTTCAGCTGTGGCACAGACATAAGCCAAACCATCTTCTTCAGCTAGAACTTTTTGAATTATGAATGTTGCTACCTGCAAAAATATACAAATTTGATATATTGGTAATAAAAGTGTGTGAAAGAAAAATACATGAAACAAATTAGCTAAAAGAAATAGAGATTCAAACCGTTTTTGATACTTCTTTTCCAATTTCCATATTGCACAAGCATAAGGGAATTATCTCGCTTGAAAGAAGGAAAGTTATCACTTCTTTAGTGCTAACCTATAGATAAAATAGTTTATTAGATTTTAAAGAAAAATATTTTAATATAAGAGAGATAAAAGTATAGTTTATATTGTGTAAATTTTTTCAACTATATTATATATAGTTTTCAACTTGTATGTTTTTTCAATCATAGTTAATACTTTTGTTTAAATATAATACCTTTATCAGTGCACCAATGACTCCAAGACTAGCAAGTCTTAAATGTTCAAATTGTGGTGACTCATTTTTTGTTTGAAGAAAGGGATACAGATACAATGGCATGTTAGCTGCATACCAGCAAGAAAAGGTAAGTGTGAGTAATGAAAAGAATAATGCTATTTTTTTATTAACATGTTCTTTATGAAATTCAGAATAGTTAAGATGAATAAGAAACTTGACATTACCATCGAGAAATAGCATCTTTGTATCAGGGTGAGATGCCACGCACTGTAATAAAAATATTAGAGAAATTTATTTCATATATTTTATATGAGAAAATGGAAATTTAAAATATAATATTTCTACTTGCTACACACAAGATTCAAAACATGTGATGACAAAATTGTCTCACCTGAAGGAGTGCAAGAACATGGCACGCTCGAGTTGATTGTGCAGGAGTAAGATTTTGCATTGAAATATTAGGAAATATTGAAAGTATTTCCTGTAAAATAAGATATCACTATCAGTATATACAAAGTATTCAACAAGAAGATAATATATTAAGTTAGTTACATATAACATACCTGTAAAAGTATCACAATAGTGCCAAAAGAATTCCATAATAAGGGTGCAAGATCTTTGAATGACTCAGTATTCTGAAATATTTGAAATTGAAAAATACAAATTTGTGTATTAATTGGACGAGTTCAAAAAACACTACCATGTATGAATTAAATAGTGAAATAACAAATATCAAACTAATAACATTATGTGATACATTATGCCAATCACTAGTGTAAGTCTATAACATACAAAAAAGATATTATTTCCATCTAATTAACAACAATTAAAATAGAAAACATAATGTGTGTTTTTATGCGTCTCAAAATACACTAAATGATGGATATTTTGGATCAACTATAACTATAATCGCAATCTCAGTTGTTCAAAAGCACCTGATGAAAATATTAGAATTAGAATAAAATGTTATTGTTTACTCCAAAGATGTTAGTCTCACAATGTATCAAATCTATGTTGAGAAAGGGGTATATTTAATGTAGTGTTACACAACTCCTTCGAGAATTGGATTATCCGTGGGGTTAAGAGAAGACATTAAAAATGTAAGAAAAATTTAAATATTAATTAGTAAAAACATTTTAGAGTATACAAATAGGTTTTCTTTTAAAGATCAGAATTCTTAAAATAAACTTTTATGAAACATGTGTGAGATAGTAATCATGGCTTTACAAGAAGAAGCCTGGGGTGGAAGAAAGCCTAGTGTGAAGCATTTCAAGGTTTTTGGCTCTTTGTGCTACAAACATGTACCAAATGTTAGAAGAAGCAAGCTTGAAGATAAGAGAGATTATGATACTTATAGGTTATCATCCAACAGGTTCCTATAAGCTTTATAATCCTTTAACTCAAAAGGTACATGTCAGTAGAGATGTGATTGTGAATGAGGCTGAGAAGTGAAAATTGGAAGAGGAGCCAATATACAGTAAAGAGAATCAACAAAGCTGCATTTATCCTGATTCACATGATGAATTAGATAATGAAAAAGTGAACAATAATGATGCAGATGAACCAGAAGAAGAGGAAGCATTTGTGAGACCTCAAAGAATCAAACAAGCTCCAAGAAGGTTGAATGATTGTGAAGTAATTCCTAATAATGCAATAAATGATGGAGGTGATATCATTCACTTTGCATTGTTGACAAATTTTGAACCTCTCAACAATAAAAAATCACTGAAGATAGATGTATGGAGGAAAGCTATGATGGAAGAGCTCCATTCAATTGAGAAGAATCAAACCTGGGAGCTAGTTAATTTTCCAGATAAGAAAAAGAAAATAGATGTGAAATGGGTGTTCAAACTAAAATTAAATCTTGATGGGAAAACTTCAAAGTATAAGGCAAGGTTGGCGGCTAGAGGTTTCTTACAAAAACATGGTGTTGATTACAATGAGGTGTTTGCTCTAGTTGCAAGGCTTGAAACTGTAAGGTTAGTTGTGGCTCTAGCTTGCAAGAGAAGGTGGTCACTTTATCATTTAGATGTAAAATCAACCTTTTTAAATGGTCCACTTGAAGAGGTAGTGTTTGTGTCACAGCCTCCTAATTTTGAAGTGCAAGGCAAGGAGAACATTGTATATAGATTTCATAAGACTTTGTATGGTTTGAAGCAGGCCCCTAGAGCCTAGAACAAGAGGATTAATTAATTTTTGATTCAAATAGGTTTGAAAAGGTGTTCAGTAGAGTTTGGTGTGTATGTGCAAAGTTCAAGTGAAGAAGAAACCATGATAATATGCCTATATGTGGATGATTTTCTCATTATAGGAAGCAAGACATCAGAGATTGAAAAGGTAAAAAACAAGTTGAAATTTGAATTTGAAATGACTGATCTAAGGAAACTCTCATTCTTCTTAGGAATGAAGTTTCTGAAGGTGAATAATGGAGCAATTATGCATCAGCAGAAGTATATAGATGAACTGCTTGAGAAATTTGAAATGACTAGCTGCAATTCAATTTCAAATCCATCAGAGACAAACTCAAAATTGGATGAGTGTAGTAAGAAAGAAAGATTTGATCCAACATTATTCAGACAAATGGTTGGTTCATTGAGATACTTGTGCAACAACAGACTTGACATTTGCTAATGTTGTTTTTCTTTCTTTCATTCCCCCCTATTTCATGCACATCTTTCTATCCCATGGAATCATAAAGTGCAACTTAAAAGTTGCTTGAAAAATAGAAAATTTTACAATATTTTATAAACTTCTAAAATTCTGATAGTAGTTTATGCAAGTCCGTCTAATTAACATCAATTTACTATATTAAAACTCGAACAAAAGCTACAAATTATATTTTAAACATATTTATTTATTTAAAAATTAAAGAAAATTTTAACTCATAATACACTAAATGATGAATCTTTTTGATTCAACTATGACTAGAATGACTTAAATGATAAAACTTCGTGAATCTCCCAAATACCCAAAAATTACATTAAAATCATAGAAATATATTATTAGATCTACAAAAGGGGCTACAATCGAAATAAATATATTATTAGATCTACAAAAGGGGCTACATAACAATCTAAATTTATGTTGATACAAAAAACACATTCAATTTCATACTAACTAAACAACTCTTCCAACAATTAGATTACTCGTGATTTTATTAACATATACTAAAAATAAAAGAAGAAGAAAAAGAGAAAGATAGAATAATAAGAACCTTAGAGAGCATATGAAGAGCGTTTTCTCGGAGATCAGACTTCTGAAGATCAAGAATAAGACGTTCCACATACGCCAACCTTTGAGAAGTTGCGCTAGTTTGAGCAGAAGCACGGAGAGAAGCCATGAACGACTCATCGTTGTTGTTTGAGAACAAACGAGGAGGAAAATTTGCCATCGATTAGATCAAAACAAAATGATGTGATAAGAAATTAATTTTATGACTTAGTTTGAATTTATGTATCAGCACTTTGATGAAAATAAATTATATATATATATATATATATATATATATATATATATATATATATATATATATATATATATATATATATATATATATATATATATATATATATATATATATATATATATATATATATATATATATATATATATATATATATATATATATATATATATATATATATATATATATATATATATATATATATATATATATATATATATTCAAACTAAAGTGATAAAATTAATTTCTTATCACATCATTTTATAAGAATAAAAGTTAATTTATTTATAATTTTTTAACTATTCATTAATTCTAATAATTTTATAACTTTATTGAAATATTATTATTTATAATATTATATTATAATTAAATATTTAAACTAGATATTCTATTAAGAAGAAAATATTGATAAAAAAGACTTCAAATTATATATTAAAAGAATTTTATCTTTATTGATAATTTATGATTTTTCAATAGTTTTTATCTCTATTACTTAATTTACAAGTTTAGTTTAATATTTTAAATCAATAGTTAAATATATATTCAATATGACATCAAAAAAGTTAAATACAATAAAGATTATTGATTATCACTTCAAAAAGAAACTGAAGAATATACTATCAAATATATTAAAGTAATTTTTTTAAACTAAAATAATTAAGATAAATTTCCTCTTTATAATATATATCTTTCTATATGGTAGGTGATATATATCAAGTGATAGGTGAAATTGATATCTAGGTTTCAAAGTTTGCCAGTAACATCTAGGTTCATATTTATTCATTCAATTTTAATTCTTTTTATACTTTTGAAATTTTTTATTTAATAAATATAAATTATTTCCTTTTTAAAGATTGAATACAATTTGTTTTCAAAAAGTTAATTTTTTTAAATTTTATCTATATCTCTCCCCCTCTCACACACTTTTTTTTTTTTTTTTCATTTTTGTTATCAAAATATTCATTTTATATTATAATTTTATATTTATAATGTTTTTAAACAACATCATATTTTAAAAAATTTTGTTGACTTATAAATTTAAATAGCTTATTTATTAGACATAAATATAAATAAAAGTATTAGGAAATTTTACTTCACACCCTTACTTTTATTCTTATACCTCTACATTTTATAAAAAATATATTAATTTTATCTTTTAAAACTAATTTATTATTTTATTTTTTAAATATTTTTTAATTTTCTTTTGCGTACTAAAAGAATTTGCAAAATAGTTTTGATAATCATTATTTAAGTTTTTTCTAAAATTTTATTATGTGTAACATAAGACTTTGCAAAAGAGTTCCAATAGACAATTTTTGTGTATCAGAAAACATTACAAAAGAATTTTGATAGTTTTTTTTTTAAAAAATTTTTATGTGTACCGGAAGACTTTTATAAAAGAGTTTCGGTAGTCAATTTTTGTATATCGAAAGACTTTGAAAAATAGTTTCGATAGTTATTTTTTAAAATTTTTTTTTTAACTTTTATTTTATGTATGGGAAGACTTTGCAAAAGAGTTCTGGTAATCAATTTTTGTGCATCAGAACACTTTAAAAAATAGTTTCGATATTTATTTTTTAAAACATTTTTTTATGTACTGGAAAGTTTTGTAAAAGAATTTTAGTAGTTAATTTTTATGTACCGAAAAACTTTGCAAAAGAGTTCCAGTTGTCATTTTTTAAAATATATTTTTAACTTTTATTTTGTATTATATAACTCTTTTGCAAAGTCTTCCTAGCAAATTAAAATTTTAAAAAAATTTAAATAATAATAATAATAATAATAATAATAATAATAATAATAATAATAATAATAATAATAATAATAATAATAATAATAATCAAAGTAATAAAATAATATTAATGATGAAAAATTTATTTTCTATTAAATAAAAAATAATGTTCAATAATTCTATTATTTATGTATAGCGTGAATATATTAACAAACAACATTTAGAAAATTTTCTATATAAATTTTTCTTTTATTTTTCTTAATTGAAACTGTTATTTTTAAAAATAAACTAATAATTTATAAAAATATTAGTATTTTAAACTAAAAAAAAATTTAATTAAAAATCAATTTTTTGGTATATTATAATTATCTCAATGAATAGTATAATACTGTATAAAAATATTTAATACTACTACTCTGATTTTATTCTTAAGGTCGGTTTGATTCAAATGAAGGGGAGAGGAAGGGAGGAGAGAGATTTATTTAATGAAGGGAAAGGAAGGTGATGGGAGAGAATATTTTTAATTATATATATATATATATATATATATATATATATATATATATATATATATATATATATATATATATATATATATATATATATATATATATATATATATATATATATATATATATATATATATATATATATATATATATATATATATATATATATATATGGTTTAAAAGAGGGAAGGGGAATGAAATGGAGAGATTTTAATAAAAAATATGTGGTTCATAAGGGAAGGAAAGAAATTTTATTAATAATTTACATTTTTATTCTTATGGTTTTATATAAGTCATGATATTTAAAAAGTAAAAATTCATAAGAACTTTTTTGATTCATAATATAGTTTTCAGAAATAAATTAACCTATGTGTTGATAACCATTTTTAAATCACGATAAACTATTTAATAAAATAAATACATAAAAATAAAAAATAAATGGTTTAAATTTTGATATAAATATATACTAGAATTTTTTTTTAAAAAAAAAAGGGAGAACCTTAATAAACATAAAAATAAAAAATAAAATGCTTATAATTTATATCAAAACACAAAAATAAAAAAGTAATTTAAAGGAGAGAAATAATTATAATAATTTAATGGAAACAACCGATAAAAACGACACGAAAGAGAAGAAGTAAACAAAAGAAAATAAATAATATTGAAATATATAAAATAAAAGTCATGATATTTTAATAAATATAATAATTTTTAAAATATCAAAGTTCAAAATTTCTATCATCCTCTCGAGTCCCTCGAGTTGGGGGACACAAAAAGTGAATTTTGAAGGGATTTGTTTCCCTCTCCTCCTCACCCCTCATAAATTTTAAATCAAACCGATTTAATTAAAAATATCATCTCTCCTCCTCTCTCCTCTATTTGCCTCGAAGAGACACCATAAATATTTCTTTTTATTTTGATTTCAATTTTGAATATTACTCTCTATTCTAAAAAATATTCATTAATAATATTAATATTATTATTTTTATTATTACTATGATTATTATTGTTAATATTATTATTAATATTATAAATTTCCTAATATCAACTTTCATAGAATTTTTGTAAAATTTTTTTTGAATAAATCTTTCGTAAAAGTACAATATTTTAAAATCATACCTATCAAGATCAAATAAAAAATATGTTTATTATATATATATATATATATATATATATATATATATATATATATATATATATATATATATATATATATATATATATATATATATATATATATATATATATACATACATATATATATATATATGTATGTATGTATATATATATATATATATATATATATATATATATATATATATATATATATATATATATATATATATATATATATATATATATATATATATATATATATATATATATATATATATATATATATATATATATATATATATATATATATATATATATATATATATATATACATACATACATATAAATATATATATATATATATATATATATATATATATATATATATATATATATATATATATATATATATATATATATATATATATATATATATATATATATATATATATATATATATATATATATATATATATATATATATATATATATATATATATATATATATATATATATATATATATATATATATATATATATATATATATATATATATATATATATATATATATATATATAAACATACATTTTATAATATTTAAATTAGTGAATTTGTGATTTTTGTTGAAACTGTAAATATATAAAAAAAAATTTATTAGTAATTTTATTTTTATTAACTATTCATTAATTCTAATAGGTTAATTAATTTATTGACATAGTTTTATTTATTATATTATATTATAATTATTTATATTGACTAGATATTCTATTAAGATAAAAATATTGATAAAAAAGACTTAAATTATATATTCTTTAGAATTTTGTCTTGATTGATAATTCGTGAAATTTCAAGATTTTTAATCTCTATTACTTTATGTACAAATTTAATTTAATATTTTTAATCTATAGTTAAATATATACTCTATACGAAATCAAAAAATTAAATACAATAAAATTATTAATTATCACTTAAGAAATTATTAAATTATACTATCAAATATATTGAAGTAATTTTTTTACTAAAAAAATAATGTTAAATTTCCTCTTTATAATATATATCTATCTATATGGTAGGTGATGTATCTCAAGTGATAGGTGTAAATTGATATCTAGGTTTCAAAGTTTGCCAGTAACATTTATCTATATTCATGTATTAGTATAAATAACTTATTGATACTTATAAATAATGGGTAATGTTAACTTGTGCCCTTGGGGCACATGTTAACAAATCCACAAATAGAAAATAAGTATTGAAAAAAGCAATAAAATCATTAATGTTTGACTTGTATTAAATTTAAAACATAACTTGTATTAAATTTAAAACACAATTTCCAATATTTTTTTACTATATTTATCACTTAACATGTGCCCCAAGGGCACAAGTTAACATTACCCATAAATAATTATTATTTTTCATAAATATCAATATAGAGATAGTACTCGTTGACACTAAGTTTGTTCATTAGTTTTTTTAAAAATGGAAGGTCGATATTTAGTTATTCTACTTTGATTCTTTATGCTTTTGAAATTTTATTTAATAAAGGCAAAATATCTTTTTTAATCTTTTAAAT